AGGCTGCACGCGTCGGGTCTTACAGCCTCCATCCCCTGGGGAGAGGAGGGATGGGGCTGAGCTCCCGCAGGAGGAAGGGATCCTTCCTAAAGTGGGACCCAGGGGCCAAGCGTCCTCCCATGGGGTGCCAGGCAGGGGCCGGCCAGTGGGCTCAGCTGTGGGCTCCATTGCTCTCCCCGGCAGCGGGACAAACTTTGGTCCCTGCCATGCCCAGGGTGACCGAGACACCCCACGTCCCCATGCCGGGGGTCAGGCGAGGGACAAGGTGGCCAGAGAAGCCACCCCAAGGGCAGCCCCATGGCTCCAGGCTCCTTGCAGAGGGGAATGCCTTCCCCCCTTCCCCAGCCGCCCCCCGGCAGTCCCACTAGGTGCTGGCACAGGGACAGAGCAACCGGGGCGCCCCGGGGGGGCACATCCAGCCCCACCGCCTCCTGCCCACAAACCCTTTGTGGAAGGAGCCAGATGCAGGGACAGGGCAGAACCACGGCTGGTGGCACTGGGGACAGGCTGGGTGGGTTAAGGAGGGGAACGGGGCGTTCCCATCTCCCCGGCCCCTCACCTTCTCCTTCCTGCTCTCCACCTCGGGCAGCTGCTTGCGGCACCCCGTCACGCAGCCGAACTGCTCCTCCGCGTTGCTGTAGGCTTCAGCACAGGCTGCGAGGCAGAAGGGGGGGGCAGGGTTAGGGGGTGCTCGATCCCCTTGATGAGCCCTGAGCCCCCAGGACCCTCCGGCCCATCCCATTTACACCCAGTGGGTGTAAATCTGCAACCCACTTGGTTTGCAGTGGGGTCCGGACGCGGCCCTGGGGCACAGCATGGGGCTGAGCAGAGGCAGGATGCTCGGGAGGGTGGAAGGTGTCATGGTGCTGGCAGCGGTACGCGGGGGACCCCCCAGGGATGGGGTTTCGGGCGCGGTGGCCACTCGGCTGCTGGTTCCTCACCTGCTTCGCACTCGGCTCTGGTTGTGTTCAGCTCAGCGCTTGCATCCACGAAGTGACAGATGGAGAACAGCCGGCAGCCCCGGTAACAGGCGTTGAGAACAGCATCCTGCAGGGAGGAGGAGGAGGAGAGCGTGGAGCTGGCACCAAGCTCAGCCTGGTGGCTGCGCCGGACCCCCGCCCCGGCCTCCCCGCACCCGGCTGGGGTCACCGGGCACCGCCACGCTCCCGCAGAACCGCAGCCAGGCCTGGCACCCGAACCCGATGGCATCCCTGGGGGAGGGAGAGCTGCCTTCACCCCCCGGGCTTGCACCCAAAGGTCGGGTTTGCAGGTGGCCTCGTCCCCATCGAGGACGCAGCAGGTCCCCCTGTCCCTGTTGGGGTGCTTGGCGCTGGCTGGGCCCCGGCATGGGCTGGCAGGAGGTGGGGGCTGCACCGGGGGGTGTGTGCATGCTTGGGGGGG